CAAAGATATCAATATACGGTTTTAACCTTCCTATCACTGTTTTAAATATAAGAAAATTATTTAGAAAGAAAATTAAAATTTCGTCCAGGTTTTAGTGCTGAACGCGGTGTCACCTCTAACTAGTGGACGTTGCAGCTTGTATAATATTCTGAATTAAGTGGGACAAGAAAATTTGAAAATTACTAAATTTTCTGGAAGTTGAATCCCAAAAACCTTTAAAAAGTTAATAGTTTCCTCGCGACACTGAGTAAAAAGGAAAGAGGAGATGAAAAATTACTTGCAACTTCGAAACGCCGTCATTATGTTAAATGTCGACTTTTTGTCAGGTTTTATCTTCCATCAAATTTAGTACAGTTTTAAAATTTTCTTGTCCAATTTGTTTCAAATTATTACACGAGCTATACTTTGAGATTATTAAGCAAATTCTTTACGCGCTACTAACGGATTGCGTAAGATTATTACACGACGACAATAAAAATTCACATCGCGTAAAAAAACATCGGTCGCAGTGCTCGAACGACCGATTATAGCGCGATTGATCGCCGTCGAGTGGAGATTGCGGCGCGGATCGCGCTGATTGCCCGCATGACTTCGTTATCTCCGCACGTGCAATGTTATTTATACACAGTGTTACTCTCGCGCGCTCACCTATCGATGCGTTTCTCTCCCGTAGCATCTTCTAATCGAACTTCAACGCGATCCTGCGCAATCTGGACATAATACTCGGACAATTTATAAAACGATCGTCGCACGATCGTTGGACGATTCTAGACAGAACTGAATACGAAATCGTCAGGATCTGCATTCTCCGTGTATATTTGCCGCTAAATGCGTTCGTCGTCCGATTACGCTTTCGCGTCGTGCATAATCTTTTTAGCGACGAACTGGATCGAACGGGGCTGAATCGTAAATGAAAAATCTCGTTCGTCCATTTGCTTCGTATTATGCATCGTTATGTCAGATTGACACGAAGAGTGTCGCTGCTCATACTAGCGGATAAAAATCCCTCAAAGCCGCTATTGAGAGATGCAGTTACGCGTTGCGTGGAAAATGCGTCGGTCATCGTGATTCTCAGCCGTGGCTCGCAGGAGTCGTTCGCGTGGCGTTCGCAGACGTGCGTATGTCGGATGTGCACTTCATTGCACCTCTGTGAGCTCGCTCGCTTGTCTCTCGCGGGCATTGCGTACCGTACGTAGAAGAGAGGAATCGAAGAAGCTAATCGTGACGAGCGCGGCACGTGTACGCAACGCAGAGAGGCACCACACATTCTTCGCGTCGCGTAAAACCAATAGGAAAATGCGACCTTATAAATGACCGTCATTTGCCTTGCAGACAGACACGATTAAGGCGATTTCTCTCTTAAAGCGCAAATGCAACGTGCGACTAATATTAAGGTGACCAGATTTCCCTGCCCCAAATTCGGTACATTTCATAAATGTTTAAAGAGGGAGTTATGGGAGAAAATTCTGTTATTATTTTTATTTAAAATTAAGAAAAGAAGCAAAGCTATCATATTTATCCGGACCGTGAATTTCCTTGAAAAAATTTTTATCGGAAGCATTTTAAAAATCTTCTGTGAATTGGGATAAATTCGAACAGTTTGGCCAAATCCGGGACAAATTTGCGTCCCAAATAGCATTCGAAAAAAACGCAGGTAAAAAATCGAGACTTCCCCGGGAAAAAAGTGGGATGTCTGCTCACCTTACTAATACGCGCCTTTATTACGGATTAAATAGACTCTTGAATCAGAACCTAGCCATAAGAAAACTAGTTTTTATTGGCTCGTAACATGTTTTCTCAAGTCCCACACAGTATCCAATTACAGTATTCCTATCGCAGTAGGTTAAAGAGAGATACAAAGAGAGAGATTGAAAATATGTCCTCTCTCTCTCTGTCTCTCTCTCTCTCTCTCTCTCTCTCGTAGCATTTTGACGAAACCGCAATTATGGCCTGATTCTAATTCAAGGACAAGAATGAAGCAATTGGACAGTATCTCTGCGCGATTTTTGAGCTTCCTCTCTGATTGCGTCTCGGATTTTCGTTGCTGATGCTTGCGAAATTTTCTTCGATAAATCTCTCGCGCGCTTCTATTCTCGTGCCATTCGTCGGACGTGACGTACATCTAAATCGCGAAATTCATCGTTAAAGATAAGTCGAGAAATGACGTGTATCGCCCACGTATCCATGCCCGATTTAATCCTTCCGCGTAGGAAAATTCGTAATCTTCGAATATACATTTCAAATGAAGTATCTATATTTGATGCAATTTGATCATAATCAGTGAAATATACGATGAAATAATAAAGTAGGAGTGTTTCCACAGAAAATCAGGGAATATTCACTGATTATCGGTGAGATACTTCTTTTACTGGTCAGAAACAGAAACATTGATTCATTTTGAGAAATCAATCAGAAACATTGATATTGGTTCATTTTCAAAGAGTGGCAAGGAATGTAGCGAGCACAACGTTGTCGTGTGAGACGCGGTAGTCCGTTGGCTGTATCTCACGAGGGTGGCCGTAAAAGAATGTTACCTCGAGGTAGACGCCTCGCTTCGCCATGAGGTCGTTGCAGGTGCGAAGAGAGCAAAACGAGCGTTCAGAGGGTTTAATAAATCGGCGGTCGCGCGCCGTGCAATCAAATTCGCCGCGATCGGCCTCTGCAATCTGCGCGTACGCGTACATGAAATCGAGAGGAAGGGTGATGCAAGAAGGAGAGAGGTAGGGCAATCGGGAAGCTGCCAAAATTACAGCCATTATCGCGATAGAGGCGAGAACCGGCCGATGTTTGTTTAACCCGATCGGAAATCGACGAAGGGTCGAGCACGATGTACCGATCGATAGGGGGTGGGAAGGTGAGGAGCAGCGAGGGTACGATGTAAGAGTAAAGAGTAAAAGGAAGAGCGCGATTCACCCCGAAAAATGGGCGTACTGCGCCGTTTAACCTGCGAGTTAACGGGGCGGATCCCGCGAAACGGTGAGACCGCGATTTACGATCTCACGTTTCCCGCTCACGTTGTTTATACAAGGTGACTCTGCTCGGCCGTGCTTTGTCTCAACGTGCCACTGATAACTTTATCATAGGTGATCGCGTTATGGTTTCAGTTTCGTGACATTGCGTATTATCATTGCGTACTATCATTTGTTTCTCTCTGTTAGGCATATGGAATAAGAGAAGACTCGGATATTATTTACAGTTTTTGTCATTAATTTAATAAAGTCATTCGCCGTAGTGAATTTTGAAAATTCTAAGTTGTATTCCAAAACGTCTTTTTGAGCAAAAATTTTACTGAAAATCTGTAGTTTACGATTCTCAGTAAAATTTTCCTCGAAAAGAACGTTTTAGAATCCGATCGTAATTTGTACCATTTTCCTCAAAAACTGTGTGTGAAGCTTATTTACATTATTAAGTAATAGGTCAAATCAAAGATCTCATCGAGTAGATTCACCTCTTCATAGTGCACTCGGGGTATAATGCAGAATAATTTATTAATACATATTTACATATAAATAATTGATTTATGATAAATAATTGATTTATGATAAATCTTTATCTTATAAAAAAAACCACAGATGTATAAAAATATATATATTCTGAATCTACAAGACAAAATCTTTCGTTTAAGCTATTACTCAATATAGGCTATAAGGAAATTTTTTTTCTAACTTTGGCGTCTCCTAAACAAACTAAACAAATTAAGGCCCAGAAAAATTAATATCTCCATGTTTTTTTTTTTTTATAATAAACTAAAAGGAATAGAATAGATGTTAATCAAAATCGCTCTAATCATATGGATAATGTTCATTGTTAGAGATAATGTAAGTAATAAAGAGGAATTACATTTGTGAAAAAAAAAGAAACACGATGAATTTAATAATTAAAATTGCAAATGTAATTATTGTTTATCGTCAAAGTACCCGTTGTATCGTTTATTGTTAAAAGAAAGCACGCTTGCTCGAAGAGACACCGTATATATCGCTCGATGCCCTCCCCCTCTTTTTCTCTCTTGGTTTCTCGTTGCTTTTCATTTCTGTCCGATGCACACAGATTTATTATTTCTCGCGACGGTATATACGATGATCGTGGTCGAAATACGGAGGGAACAGACGATTGCGGCCAATGCGCACGCGTTGAGGTTGAGGTTGAGTGTCTCCCTCAAATCGTTTGCGTTGCACGCGGCCGATGACGTCGAGATAAAGTGTGCGCAAGTCGCACGCATGCACGCACGCACGCGTACGCAAGGATATCGTGTTCGCGTTTCTCGCGTTTTTTTCCCCCCTTTTTTTTATCATCAAGTCTCGACTACTTAAGACTCGTTAGCCGAGAGCCTTATTGCTGGCTTGTATATTTAATTATGTTAATTTCGACGCGCGGCGCGAAAAGTTGACAGTCGCGCTCAGTAGCCGTGCGCCGGTCAATTGGCAAATCATCCTGTCGACGATCCAGAAGATCGATCACCGAGAATAATTTGCCGCGGAATATTCTCACTCGACCGCGAGAATAGATCTAAATCGATCGTTAGAGCGCTGCTAAATTATCCGGCGATTATAGTATCATTATAAGAAATGCATTGCGGTCGCACGCGGTCTCTCTAGTCCATGTATTAAATGTCTGCCGCGATTAAGCGTTTGCAGTCGGAATAAATCGAAAATTTTTAATACTTCACAGCACTGGATACACTTGAGATATTAGATCTGTTTTTTTAAGCTGCACTTTCTGCCGTTACAGAGAAGCAAGTACACTTGCGGAAAAAGATACGATGGTGGCAATTATATAAGTGACAACTACATAAGTTTTATGGGTAGTTGAAATTCTTCCAAAATCCTATTTCATTTTTCCTCTTCATTTTTTCCTAAATCTTTAAATCAATATTAAACCAATAAAATAAAATAAAAATCTAACGTTGAAAGGAAAAGGAACAAAGTTCCAATGTAGCACTAGTTCAATTAAAAAGAAAAATCTTATTATCATAGCGTGCAATTTCTGGAGGATATACTCACCAGGATGAAGCTAATTGCGGACTTGTGTGCGGCATCAATCGTGGCAGTAGATGTTAATCTGTCAGTCGCGTGAATTCTTGACTCAATTGGACTCAACTCGATTGTTCACAGCCGCGAACTTTTAGTTCTTTCAATGTCCAGTGCGAGTCCACGTGTAGCGTCCAAGCATAAGAGTCCGAGAATGTTCCGCGAGCGAGCCGCACGCAGCGGAAATGAACGAGCTGTCGTGCAAATTAGTCAACGAGCACTCCCCGAGAGATTATTGTCGCCGTGTGCGCGCTTTCGCGATCTAAGCAAATGGATTCCCTCGACTATGCACAACCGGTGATAACGGTACGGGACGTTTCATGTCTCCGCCGAGAAATGTCATCGGCTTTTCTTCTTCCTACCACACGCGGCGTCGGAAGAATGGTAATCGAACACAATCCACTCGTCTCGAACACCGCGACACCTTCGCCGAATTCTCGCCGCGGCGAGAAGAATCGCGCGCGAACCTCCGACTCCTAACCGAGCCGACGCGCGCTAAGTCAAGCTCCGCGAAATGCTCGCGCGTCGACGCTCCTCCACGTTGTCCGCGCGCAATTATCGATGGCGTTCCCCTGACTTTCCAAGAAAATTGCAAACTGCCCGCCGTGGAGCAGGAGTCACGAAAGTGCTCGAACGGGCGAATCTCAAAGACGAGGATCTTGCAATGGAGGTCTCCCTCGCTGCACGGCACACTCGCGACACGTGAGAGTGTCGAATGCAACACGTGACTCCTGCGAGGAATCCCAGGTTGACTCCGCTTCTCGAAGTTGACAGGCTGCAGCCCGCGGCTAGAGAACGCGGAGGAGATCCCGCGTTCCAAGTCACGAAGCGCTCGTTTCTCAACCCAGTAACGAGAGGACGGCGCGAGATCGTAGCTGGGTAGGTGGATAGGTGTGCAAAAGAAGCGCAACACGGGCGAATTATCCTCGAGTTGAAACGCGCTTCTTCCCTCTAGTCGCAGCGTCTTCGTGCTGAGAGAAAGGGGCGCGAGACGCGCAATTTGCGCGCATTACCGCCGAGATATACGACGCGGTCCCGGCAGGCCGATCGAGAGTAGAGGAGTATACGTTACTTCCTTCCGATCGCGTGCCCTCCGGCCCTACGCCAAGCGGAGGATGAGGCGACCCGGCCCCGTGTTGCTGTCCTCCCGCAATTTACTCGTCGAGAATGATGACGAATCGTGATGATCACGCCGCTCTCGCGTTATCTCTCGGATGCCTCCGGCGATAATAACAATCGCGCGACGACGCCTGGCGTGTCGCGCTGGCACACGGCGCCCGGAGATGATGGATAACGCGCGTCAAATGTCGCCGTTGTCACCACCAGTATCACGTCAAATCGGCCGTTGACGCTTCGTTGTACGTTCTTCTTTATTTAGTTGTTTTTTCCTGAGTCCAAGGTTGTCGAGAATCTTTCACCCGTGCTCTTTCGCCGAGTCTACGCGGAGTGTCCTCCTGTCGAAATGAGACGGGGAACTCGCCGGAGAAGTGCACCTCGTGAGCACAAGGCGATTTCGTCCAAAGAGACAGTTTGCCGTCCCGAGATAGCAGAATCAGTTCGATCACGCGACACACCCGACGAAATTGCCGATAATAGGTGCGTGTCCAGCGGCGTTCACTCTGTCTATTTTGTTTACTTTTCCGTCCACGGGGGCAGAGTCACGGCTGGCGCCGCGCGACGTTCTGTCCACTTCCTCTCCCGAGAAAGCACACTTCTGGTCGGTCTATCGGCAACGCAACGGCCGATCGGTCCGCGCGTTTACGTAACCATGCCAAAGAGTGGCCGCGCCAGAGGTGTCTCCTCGGTGCGTTGCAGAGCGCGGTAGACCCACTTTGGGGTATCGAGTCCTCCTTGCAATCGGGACGTCGCGCTGATACCGCGTTTCTCAGTGATCGCGGCGTACGGAACACGGCAATCACGATGGATCGCGTATCGCAGACAATCGCCGAGAAACCGCGACGAAGAGTCTTCTCCGCGGATGATCACGAACCCACCGTCGTCAGACTTCATGAAACGAGTACGCCACTGCGGATTCGCGGTCACGAGATCTCTCCACTAGACCCCCGGGATATCATCCCTTCGATTATCCCTGCCACCGGCCACTCTCGGTCGCCGCACTTTCACAAGCTCCGGCACCCGTTGGAAGATCAGTAGCGCGGATTGTCGCGTTCCGTCCGAGTGACAGGTCACCGGCGCAGACTGGGGAACGCAAATTCCACGTGATGCGAATCGAGTGCGGAGCAAGGGGGAGAGAGAAAGAGAGCCGATGCGCGCGTGCAACGTCCCCGTCCGTAGAGCGGTGCTCGCGCGGAAATCGGGAGTAGCACTGACTCGCTTCTGGCTGAGCCGCGCGGCGATAGGCTTGGGTCTTAGCAGGCCACGCGCACCGCCCGGTCCTCCCGCTGCTGCGTGCCCGTGCGCTGCGGCGACTTCTCTCAGGGTGCGGAGTCCCGCGTGGTTGCAGACGCCGGCGAACGTCGGTAGGGTGAAAGTCGCTCCGAGTGGACGACTCGCCGGCACGGCGCAGTTTGGTGACGATACGGCCTCCGCGGCCTATCGCCACGACGCGACAGGTGGAAAAATGAAGCGACGTCGTCGGTCGACGCGTCAGGAGCGACGCGCGGTATCTTTCATCAGCTCCGGCGCGACGACAGTCTCTCCTCGCAGCAACGCGATCGCGAAGCTATCGGCGCGCTCGTTCGACGAACGCCTCCCACCGACCACGACCACCGATGATCGTAGCTCTGATCGTTCCAAGGCGATAATCGTGCGAGCTGGTTGTCGCGTCGACAACCTCCGAGCAACTCGGTCGCGCGTCGCTGCGCTCGGAGTGGTGCTCGCGCGACGGCGACGAGGACGACTCGTTCGACGATGGGTGCTCCTACTGTGACCAGGTCGACCGCAGGTAAACGCATGGCCATACGGGAGACACCGTGCGCCGGACAGCCACCGGACGGACCGTCCCTGTTCTTGACTGCTCTGTTGACTGGCGGCGAACGAGAACCAACGAGGAGTGCGTTGATGGGCTCACCTCTACGTACGAGAAGCCTCCGATCGCCTTGCGCGAGTGCGATGTGCGCTGCTCCCCGTGCGCGCCGCGTCTGTCTGTCTGTCTGTTCATCCGTCCGTCCGTCCGTCCGTCCGTCTCTGCGCTCGTCCTCTTTCTCTCTCTTTCTTTCCCTTGCCGCGCGACACGAGCGCATCGCCGCCGCTTGCCGGCTCCTCACCACCACCACCACCACCACCACCACCACCGCCATCACCATAACCACCACCACCACTACCATTGCCTCCAGACAGAACCCCAAAGAAGCCCAACGCTTCTTCGTCGTGCGCCCCCACTCTCCCCGCGCACGCTGCGCTGCTTCCCCACCATCGCCGGGATGCCAGCATCCCCGAGACCAGATCGCGCTCGGCACGCGAATAACAGGCGAATTTTTCGGTCGGTTCCCGCGCCGCGTGTCTATCCCCTCGATGGAGTTATCAAGAAACAACACGGTGGCGTGAGTTGGCCGTGATGCGTCTTAATTAGTCTTGATAAGGCGGTGTACGAGTGCACTCGCGAAGCCACGACGGTGGTGAGTGGTGAACAGCTCCGGTTGCGCTAAGTTAAGAATTCGGTGCAGTTCTCACCGCGGAGATCCGACGCGCGTTTCCGGACGAGTCGCAACAGCTGGGTTTATCTTGTCATCGAGAGCCAACACTTGTTGAATATTTACGACGCTTGAATATTTATTCGTCGTTTTATCTGCGCTACGCTAGAGAACACTTTGTAATAATCTGTGCAACAATCTGGTTGCTTTATCGCGTCTGCTTCACGCACCCACGTGAAGTGTCACTAACTCGGCGACAGAATTGGAACGATAAATTTGCGTGAAATTATGTTCTCGTTCGTAAGGACAGACATTTATGCAAATAATACACGATTAATGTGAAGTGTAAAACTCGCGGGCGCGCGCAATGTGCCAGCACTTATCAGCGCGGTAACGATTAGTTTTAACGGAGGCGGTCGTTACATTCTACCTAAAATACGTCGAAACCGCCTCGCTTCTATGATCGTAAGCGAAAAATCGTTAGACGAAACGTTACACTACGAAGAGTTCCGAAGTCACTAAACACTCTCTCAAAATGAATCAGTAAAAAGCTTCCTGAGTGAATCAGTAAAAGGATTGTTTTATAGTTCCTGGTTGAATCAACAAAAGGACAATTTCTTAGAGAGAGGGGGAGTAGAATTTATTAATACCATAAATTTCAATAATTTCTTAGAATTTACAGTAAACAAAAATTAAAATAATATCAGATTTAAGACATTCAAGTAGAGATATAAGTAACATTTTACTGTGCTGTGATGATTTTATTATGAATAATTCGTAGCAAAAGTTACCTAAAAACGCAGTAGCTCTAGACCAAAAAGAAAAAAGCTAAAAGACATTCAAATGTTACATATAGAATATAATGGTAAATGAAGCTATAAGTTATCAGATGTCATAAACTGAAATTATGATATGCCTATGATAATACAACTAAAAAAGAAAAATGAACAAAAAGGAAGCAAGCAATTTAGGAACTTGCAAATAATGCAAGTAATTGGGCTATCAATTTATTTTATATCACTCGAATGACTTACCAGTTAACACTAAATCGTATACAGGTATACAGAAGTGCAGAGTAATTTAAAAGAAAGCAGCTAAAAGACTGAAATAGTCTCAGTTGGCAAATTAGAAACAAGAATACAGCCAAGAGCAAGCAAAACTACAAGGACAGAAGTTAGAATACTAAAGCTAAGGCATTATAGTGAATTCGTACTTTATTACTTCATCGTAGATGTCACTAATTATGACTATTGGAAGAGAGATTTCGCTGTATAAAATCTGTAAGATACAAATTCGTTATACGCTGTATCAAATCCAACTTTCTGCGTTTGTGAAATTAACTTCCATATAGAAAAAATAATTCCGTTAGTGTAGCTGAATTTTCTGTTATTTGGGGATCATATGAAAATCTCTATTATGTGAACAGAAAGATCTCTACAAGAGGTGTCTGTTCAGCCAATTACTCTTAAATTATCTCAATCGACTTTCAATGCAAGATGTTCAGGAGAATGTTTTTGGTCATAGTAACAGAGATATTGACCGCGTTCAGCAGAGAAAGTTACTTTGCAACTGTTGTAAAATTCATAAACCTGATTGGTATATACTCTTAAATTCAGCCAAGATTAAGAACATACACCAATCAGATTCACAAAGTTTACAAGTTGCAAAGCAGTTTTCTCTGCTGAATGCAGCCATTATCTCTCATCAGCAATTTTTTCGTCCGATCTCCATTCAGTTATCCGAACTGTAATTGTTTTTTCCGTGTGTGCAATTTACGTGCAATGACACTGTCTGTGTTTGTAAATTGCATTAATAATAGAAACAATAGCTACTATTAACTGATTCTTTCAGCGAGATTTTATCGATTGCAGTGCTATACTCATAACTGAACTATCAGTTATAAGCGTAGCATTTCAGTGAAGAACACACCGATTGTATTCTGTTAGAGAGAAAAGGGATCACATCCGATGCACTCTTTCTTTTTTCGCACATTACGCACATCGATTATCTGCGATAACGTCCACGCGGCTGTCGCACCTTCGGTCGCAACTGAGCGCGCCTGTTATCGCCACCGATAACGTACCGTCACGAAAGCGAGCACGACACACTATCTCTTTCTCTCTATCTGTTTCTCTCGTTCTCACACACAGTTTCGTGTTTTCCCGTCGCGTCCCGAACCACCGGGGTTCGACGCGCTCCGACCGAGTGGCCGGGATGGATGCACCTGCGGATGCACGATGCATAACACCGTGGCTCCGCGCATAAAACACTGCCCCACTCCGCGGTGGTGAAGGACGTCAGACCAATCTCCGGCCACGCGAACCGTCTTAAACTACTTATTTCTCTCGCGAGCCGCTTATCACGATCCCGAGACCGATCGCGAGGTTCGACGTACGCACCACCGTAGCTCGCGCGGCTCTCTCTCTCTCTCTCTCTCTCTCTCTCTCTCTCGTTCTCCCGCCCGCCCGCTCGCTCGCTCACTTACTCTAAAAATACCGTAGAAAGATTGCTGTGTAGAGGCACGCAAATCACCGGCCTGCGCCTTAATTGCGGCGAAATTACGTGGGATTTAATTTTCGTTAAACCCGACCCGCCGTTCAGGCCGCCGCACGAAGGCAGATATTCGCGCGGTGACTGTTGAGAGGTGTAGCTACTTGTGCTACGACTTTAGATGTAGCGTTAAACGATCGGTCGGGGAATGTAGTTAAACTGTTTCGCTAAATGAGAGTAAAGTTTCGTCATGCACTTATCTTTACGACAGCAGTATACCGATATCAGTAACGAAAGACTGATGAAGTCGATGCGCTAGATAGAGCGCACTGGTATCGCAAATTCGGGGATATTAAGGCATACTGTAAAAAAAAGGCTTTGCTAATATATCAAAATATTAGCACAACAAATGGTTTGTTGCTTTGGAATACCAAATAACTCCGTAATGGGAATAAATAATTTGTTATTTGCAATTTGTTATTCTGAGTAATACTTCTGTAATAAAGATATAATTTAATTTAAATATATGAGAATAAATATGGTTTGTATCTCAAATGCCTCAGGCAATACGTACTTGTTAAAGCGACTAATAATAATAATAATAGCTTTATTAGACAGTTTATTTTGCAGTGAAGGAATACGAGTGTAATATGTAAAGTAACTGAGAGATTAAATGGCATGATGACAGTTTTACAACTGATATTAATGTCATACCTTGACGTTGTATTTAAAACATATAAAACATATAAAATAAATCCACGTAATGTCAACCGAATCAAATTTGACAAAATACATAACTAAAATAAATATGAACAGTAACTGTTCGATTTATCTTTCTAACGATCATCAAATAATAGACGTGTTCTTATTTTGATAATCAAGGGACTTTTCTCAGTGCAGTGTTGGACATCAATCGATTAAAAATTTGTTGAACCAAAATGATGGACAAGTCGATATTAATGAATCATTATATCTAAAATCATACCAAAGAATTTAGAGAATATATATATATATATTATATGACGATTGATAAATTTCACTTATTGATTTGCCGATTACATCAGTCAAAGAGCATAAAGATCGATCAATGCCCAACACTGTATTGAGATAATCGACCATTGTTCACTTTCACCTGTTGGCCTTTCCGTTCTGTGGAGCCGCGTTGAGAGATTGGCGTAATCTCGGCCGGTGCGTCTATAAAATTATCGCCGGCGCTCGCGGTGCGTTAAAACCCTCGTTGAAAGCAGAGGTATATTCGCGCGTAATATCTCTCAACGAGCTGACTTACGTTGCGGCGCGGTTTTACTTCTAGAATTACGACGGTCTTTAATGCGGGTAAATGCGGATAAAGGGTAACGCTGGCCGACGTGTTGAGCAATCGCGAGTTCGTCAAAGCGACGCTCGAGTATCCGCTCGGGTTTAACGTCGATGGCGCGAGAGAAGACATAACGAAATGAGTCGTAAAATATGACACAGCCCGAGGGGCTTCCCTGCGCCCTCGGGTGCGTGCTGCGCAATCGATCTTGCCGGGTATTACAGGGTCCTTATCTCATCTTTGGAACTCGTTTAAGACCCGTTTCGCCACCTCAGGTCTCCCGATTGCGTCCGCTTCAATTACCGACGCTCCCGTTCCGAGAATGGACACGTCCACCCTCGAATTTACGGGCCCCCGCCAATTTCTCTCGCTCCTGCGCTTTTGCCCCAAATGGAGCCTCAAAGGCGCTTCGACACAACGTATGACAACGTGAATGTACACCGTGCTTTATATATATAGACGCTTTTTTGTTTAAAAAAATTGATAAATCTTCCCGAAAATGTAAAACACGAAAAAAATGACGTATTTGAGAAATTAGTGTGTATTTCACAAGTTGTACTTCACAAGCTAAATATACCCAAAGACGCATGAGGCTTCGATTTTAGCCGTGAGTTATCTCCGCGCAACACGATCGAAAGATCTATTCCTGTATCGTGCGAAAGAGCCGTTCGTGGATCGAAAGCGAAGCTAGCCGTAATTCGTGACTTTCGCGTGTTAATTTGGCACAGGGGCTTTGCGTGCCGCCTGTATACTTAGCCACGTAGATAGGTATGCACTTAACACCTGTGAGCCCGCG